CCGCGTCGCTGCCTCCAGGGACTCTCCCAGGAGAGACCCGCGCGCTCCCGGCCTCGAGGAAGTCGCGGTGAGTGCACACGGCGTGCGGCGGCAGCCAGCTCCGGCGAGTGGGTCTCGGGACCTGGACGCTAGGATAAGCGGCGGGGAGGGGCGAAGGAGGAAGGGAAGGAGGAAGCGCTGCCGAGACCTCTTCTGTGGCTCCGGGTCAGGTACCCAGCTGGAGTGGCCAAAGTGCCCTGCGGAGGACTGAGCCCTCCGAGCCCGCGCAGGCCCCGCACCCTCACTCTCCGCAGTTCGCAGGCCCGAGAGCCGAAAGGGGGTGGGGTGGGGCAGAGGGAAAGGAACCCCCACCCCCCGCCCCCGCTTAGGGAAACAGCGCGAGTGAGTCTCGGAAGTGACCCTCCTGCCCTTTCTCTCCTGGAAACAGGAGAACGAAAGGAGATTGGCGCCTTCCCCGCGGGGGCTGGAGGCCGCGGGGACGCTCGGGTCGGACGGAGAGAGAAGACAGGGGAGCCGAACCTACCGGAGAGGCTTGGCCCCGGGCAGCGGTGGAAACAGAGCCCAATTGCACTCGCTCCTGAAGCGCAACCCAGAGCAGCCGGAATTTCTGGGAAGCGCAGCAGGGGCTGGGGCTTCAGGGAGAGGGGCACCGAGCGAGAGTCACTGGACGAGCATTGGTGATGGCCAAGATGATGGGGGCAGGAAGCAGTTGGAGTAGGGAAGGGTAGTTGGAGATACAGTCGGCCGTAGGAAGTTCCAGCACTTTTCCCTCTGGGCTACACTGGACCTCGAGTCCTCTTGTACCCAACCCCACCCCGATTCTGCGCCTGCAACCCCGGAGGGTCCTCCACGCTACCCCGGCCATGGGGGGTCGCACAAACCCCCATCCCTTCTAGAAGTCTCCAGACGCGGTGCTCCAGACGCGGCGTGGTCGCATGAGCTGGGAGGACTCCCACTTCCTGGCGCGCAGGGTCAGAGGGCAGCCGCAGTGGACGCAGGGCAAGGGGTCCTGGGGTCTCTTGGCCATGTGCCGAGGTTGTAAGGCTGTGGGGGACCTGATCTGGAGGACAGCGCGGGAGGTGAGACGTTGGAGCCCCGAGGCTGGCGCTAGGGTCTTGGTTCTTGGTGCCTTCTCGTTCTCTTTTCCCGGACCGGGAGGAGCCTGCTAATCCCCAACTCACTGCGGGACAATGACCCGGTACTCCCCTCTGGGAGTTGGGAGAGCCTGGCCTACGGCCACCTTGTCTGCAGCAGGTGCTCCTGACCTTTTCCAGGGACCCTTTTGAAGGTCAGAAGTTCAATGGCGTTGGAGGCACAGTAGCTCCGTCGGTGGGCGGGACAGTGTGTACAGACCTTGGCTCGGACCTCACCTGCCCGAGCGCACTGCGGAACCCATAAGCCCATAAGCCGTAACCTTGTTCGCAGGGCTGGTGCTCCGAAACCCAGGAACCGCGCGAGCTCTGAAGTTGGTGATTCCCACCAAACGCTGGGCTCACAAAGGGACCAGCACTTTCCCTTGGCGTTTCGGATCCAAGGGCATTTTCCTGTTTTCAGCAGTGCGCGCAGAGGGTCGGGCGGGGCTGCTGATGAGCGGCTCCGGTTCGCAGTGCCCAGACGCAAGGGGCCGGGCCGGCTTCCCTGCCGGGATCCCCCACTGGGCTGCGCGGACAGTTGTCTCCAGGCTTCTGGGAGAAAGGACTCCACGGGGGAAGGGACTGCTGGGTGGGCCCCGCCGCCGCTTGCGCAGGCGGCCCCCGAGTGCGCTCAGGCACCTTCCTGGCTTCGGGAGGATTTAATGCTTCCCTCACCCCCACGATTTCGATCCTCAATTATGGACCCGGGAGAATTCCTCCCAGGCTTGAAAGGGATTACCCAGATCGCAGAAACATGGCTAAGTGGAAGTGGGAGAAACCCGACAAGTAACAGGAACAAACTTTTCTTAAACCAAATTTCCCGGATGTTACGGGAACGCGTACTTGAGATGTCAATACTGGGTCTTCACAGTGACAGCTGGTGAGATATCGAATCCCGTGGTGTGAGAAGTAGCATAAAGGAGCATGTGAAGACTCGCAGATGTGTGGTTGTGAGATACTTTCAGGCCCACAGTCTGCCCCAGCAAACGCCCAAGCGGGCACTGTACCACCTCCACCACCAACACGTTGGCTCAACACACACACACTCACGGTAATGGGCCTGGGATCCCCCACAGCACCACCAGAAGAACCCAAACTACTTGGGCGCCGACCTCGAGATTTCCCAGGTGGGAAGGATAGTGATACCTGCGCGGAATGACAAAGGAAGAACCCCCACGCCTGGCTGGGGTCCTCCTAGGGCTCTCCCTAGCCAGAGGGAAAGCTTGGGGCCCTTGAGACACTTAGGACGACACCCACAGGCTAGCTCTGTGTAAACTGGATAAAGTACTAAATACGTGCTAATTGGAGTGATCTGAAGCCGGCGGCCGCGGCTTGGGACACCTACTGCTTGTTCCTTGCTCCAGGGCTCCTGAAGCGGAGAGTACCTCCTAATCGGTGCTTTGGGCGGCAAGTCGAGCGCGTCGTCCAGAGCACGGAGACGGGACCGAAGGGGAGAAGCATAGAGCAGTGAAAGGCCCCCCGAAGTCCGGGCATCACCCAGAAACGGTGGTTCTACTGGCGGGGAAAGAGTCTGGAGAATCTAGAATGGAGGGAGGCTAGGGGCAGGAAGAGGGCAGGTGGGAAGAGAGGCGGGACACCTTGAGTCCTGAGAGCTTCTGGCACGCAGCCTGCATTCGGGGCGCCACCGTCCCCAGTTTGTCATGCTTCTAGCGCTTGGGCGCACCCCGAGGCACACAAGCACGCCTCCGCATACCCCACTACCTTTTAGAAATTTTCCATGAGGAAAGTGATCTGGAAGAAATTGAGGCTCTAAGAGGAAAGGGGCGGGGCCCAGCAGCCTCACGTCTGCTCGAATTTTCCGCTTCAGATGCTCCGCAACAGTTTTTCCCCAGGCCGCGCCCGGCGCCTACCTGAGGCCCATCCCCCGCGGAAACCGACTTTCGCGTGAGAGCAACGGGGAAATGCGCACATGTTCCATCTGGGATGGGCTGCTGCGGTGGCAGAAGAGGATGAGACTTTGTCCCTAAGGACGTGGGGAGGGGAGGACTTCTCCCAGGCCTAGCACTAGATTGAGGGGAGGGGGTTCGAACATCTGAAGTGATGTTTAAGGAGAACTTCAGCCGCCAGCTCAAAGCCAGACAACAGAAAATCCAGGATTACGGAGATTCGAACCTATTCCTTTTATAAACCCTTGTCTACACAGACGATTCGCACCATGTAGTTATTCCAGAAACTCCCACTTGGGTTCCGTATCACGTATCTGATTATTTCGTGGCTAGGAGGCGTTTTTGGTCTAAGCTACCTGAAAAACTACCTCAATTTTTCACTCCTTTCCTTGTTTAAGCCCAATGGAGACATCACCAACTTTTCCTGGGATCATTGCTACTCCCAGGAAGGATCAGACAACAATTACTATATTACTACCCACTGTATCCAGAGCAATTTCAATGATTTATTCCTTGAGAGGTCAAGACAGTAACTCACTCTGTTCACTCGTTCCCAAGTGGTAGAGGGAGAGAAGTTTATTCCTTTTGTTTTGTTTTGCTTTTAATAAATTATTTCACTGTCAGTTACCCCTTTGGAGAAAGTGTTTGCTTTTAGGTCGGTCAGCTTCTCTCTGATTATTTGATTATATCGCAGTAACTAGGGCAGATCTGCCCTCGTGCACCGGGTCGGGGATTCCTTGGTCCAGTCCCCGGCGGGGTGCCCCACGTGGCTCTGCGGGTAGAGTGTGTACTCGGGGGGAGAGAGACAACCCCGCCCCCCAGCAGGGACTTATTCACACCTCTGCGCCTATCTGGACCTGCTCGAGGCTGACTCTACTCCTTTGGATTCCTAAGAGCGAGGTCCTTCTCGGACCTGGTTGTCTCGGATGACTTCAGATCCTGGGACTGGGTGCTTGAGGGGGCCGGTTGGGGCAGTGCCTCTTATCCGAACAACATCGTAGCTACTGCTTACTTCTCTCCCTCCCTCAAGGCAATGCATTTAGGAATCAAAAGTAGTGCCACTGGTAATTATAGTGGATAGCAAAGTCCCTGAGCAAGGGCCGCAGGGAGCCACTGACACCGTGTCAGGTTTGGGTAAACAGCGGCCACACGTTTCTTCTAATTTTACCTCGGGAGGGGAGTGAGAGGGCAGCGCTTTCCTCTGCATTCATTCCCTGTCTCCCAAACCTAGCCCACTCTCTCCCCCATCTCTGAGAAGGTACCGAGGACTACCGCATGCATACCGACATCCAGCGTCCTCGGGGGAGAGCGAGGGTGCTGTTGGAGCGCAGGCAGTGCAGGGCAGAAGGAGAGGGGAGCTTAGTGTCCCACGGGGACCTCCTCCCACCCTTCCACGACCCGCTGCACGAAATCTCCGCAGTCCTCTCCCACAGTGTTCTCGCCCCGCCTTAACAGAAACATCGTCTCAAAATCCTGGTTCGGGGAGAGGCAGCTCATTCGTTCCCCGGCAAAACCTCGCCTTTCGCCGCCAGCGAGGCCAGGATCGTGTCTGGAAACCTTTGAGCTGGAGGAGTCTTAATAGTCTGGTGTGAGCTGAAATTTCTCAGTGGTTATGTCGATTATATACCGCCTTGAAATCCGAAAACCAATTAATTCATTAACGACGGCACTGAAACCGCCTTTCAAAAGCATCAACCAAAAAGTTCCCTTAAAAAAAAAAGAACAAAACCTATCCACCAGAGACAAATATTTCTGTGCCTCAAAGAAAGCACAAACATGATACGCTTAATTTTTTTCTAGTAGGTAATAATAGTAATAGCCAATCCTTAACGTACGGCTGACTAAATATAGAGCTATTATAATACTTTAAAGACACAAATGCATTTCATTTAATAAATATAAGGGGCTATTTGCAAAGCAAAGCTAACATTGGGGGAAACCTCCCTAATCTAAACAAATCCGTGGGAAGACAAACTAATTCATTCGCAGTTGAGGAGAGAAAGTTACCGAAAGGGCAGGGGGCAGCCGGGCAGGCTGGGTCGGGCCCCCTCCAGCCTGGGCTGAGCGCGCCCAGCCGCCCCAGTCCGGGGCGTGAGCATCTTTATGCTTCGTGCAGATTTTTTATTTTCCCTTAGTTTTAAGGGCTGGTGTAAGAGGCAGGTTTCCTGAGAGGTATGCATCGGGGAACACTTCCCTCCCTGGAGGAGAAGGAGCACACAGCAGACGGCCGTCCCGCTTCAGAAATTTCCGGCGCGCCAAAGCCAGACTTCAGATCAGAGCAGCCGGGGGCCACGCGGGTGTGCGGACCGCACCCGATCTGGCAGGGCACGTAGTAGGTGGCTGGGCCCTTTCGCGCGCCCTCCCTGTCTTGGGACAAATCCTGGCTTTGGGAGTTGCGGGCCCCACTCAGGGACACGGGCCAAGCTTCAGGCCTTCCCCGTCGCCAGAGGTCGTCTCAATTCCGCAGAAGGGATTCAGGACTCCTACTCCCCACGCTGGGTGCGGGTTCAGAAGATTGTTTCGGACAGACTTTGCGCTGTGGTTCCCGCCTTTTGCGTGCGCAAAGTCTCCGACCGCCCGCGTGGTCAGAAACGCGGCCTGGACAGGTTGGCGAAAGGGGGCGCAAAGCGCACGGCCGCGGGAGTGGCTCAGTAAACAGAGAGGGTGGAGGGCTCAGGGAGCAACGGCGGGTCAGAGCGCTTGGGGTAGGGGTGTCAGTACACGCCCGGGGCAGGGTGCTCGGTGCACACGGACAGGGTGCAGTGCACGAGGGAGTGGGAAGCTCTAGAGCACGCTTGAGCTCAGCGCTACGGCGGGGCGCAGTGTACACTGGAGGCGGAGGTGGGGGGAGATCCCGGGTGCGCACCCAGGGAGCCGTGCCGGGAGCTGGAGCTGGTGCTGCTGTGCTGCTGTGCGCGCTGGGAAGTGTGCGGACGCTCACTTGCGTGCGTTAGACTATGCGGATGTCATCTCGGGCTTGTCCATCTCCCATCCTCCCCCTACTCGTCTGGCCTCGGCTTCGCCTCTCCCCACAGATTCTTTACACAGGAGAAATAGGGACCAGAGGGATCTGGGGCCTGTGTGGGCCCGGCGGGAGGGAATGAGAGGCAGTGCAAGTGGGTGGAGGGTTTCCAGGTGGGATATAAGCGGCTGGTGCTTTCATCTTGGCTTCACCAAAGACCCCGGAGCCGTGCCCAGCTCTAGCACTCTTAGCCCAGGTCCGGAGTCGAATTCTCACGTTGGCGGCTCAGCCTTTTTGAGGGAGATCCGGCCTGGTCTCCCAGTTGAGGAAGAAGGTCCAACTCCCCTCCGCGGTCCCTCGCTCCTCTTTTAGCTGCCCCAAGACAGAATTCCTTTTAGGTGCCAGAGCAAATACCCCGGAGGAGGAGGCACGGGGTAGAGAGCGTTTTCGTATAAAACGAGACTTTTAAATTTAACATTTTTCTCAATTCAAGAATATTTTCCCTGGCAAAAGCATCGGTTAGCTGATAAACTACAGAGTGGATTCAAACCGTGCGGCTTATGAATATTTTTGGCCCCAACTCCAGCACCGTCTTCATTTTTCAGAGGGCGGAAACAAAATAATCTTGGTTATAGCACCAACGCTCTTTTCACCCGCGGGTGTAGACAAAGACATTATTTAATCTGACTACAGAATTCTCTGTACTTCTCTCCCAGAAGCTTTTGAACCAGGCAGGGTGAGCTCTCAGGCGCCGGGCAGATTTTCACCTTCAAGGGCACTTTCTCATCACTTCCCCTTTAATGGAAGGGGTGATCAGAGTGAGCGTGCAGCTTCATGGAGTTGTGCAAATGCTACTCAGCTCCCAAAGTTGAGGTCAATTAAACTGGTTGATTATGGTGGTGTGAGACCTAGTTTCAATCTTGCATTTCATTTTGGAGAATTCCTAGCAACTGCCAGGCGTTGAGCTGGTAGTGGGGGTTGGGGCGAGAGGGGGATACGTGGAAGAGTTTAATGAGAAACCTAACTTTTGAATTAATACAAGCAGACATGGGGAAAAAAAGGCGTGGAGCTGGAGGGTGAAGGCATGGTCCAGTAACCTGGGGAGGCAACAGGCCCCGGGTTCCACTTCTTTCCCGGCTCTTAGCACTATCTGGACTGAAAGCGTTAGCTTCCAACACTTGTTAAACACTTTAAACAAGGTAGTGAGCACTGGAAAGCTCCTATGTGAATTTGCTTTACTTCCTGGATGGTTGGGGCCAGGGAGGAAAAAGCTCAGCGCCATGACTCCCCATGCACAAATAATTTTAGTGTTTATTGATGTCTACTTAAAGTAATTGACCAGAAAATGCCCCCTGTTTAAGCAACATACAGAATGCTCCATTGAAAGCTAATTGACCTATGTGTATTTCTGTTTAGTTTGATGTCTACATCGTCATTTTTGGAGACGCTGTCAACTCTGACGAATGAAGGAATGTGGAAGCCAGGGGAAATTGCACCTGCAGAAAGTGCTGGAATTCCAGGGCCAACTCCTCTCAACTGTCCTTTAAGAGTACGTGGACCTTACTTGATTGTTTGAGATCCAGCAATTGGAGTTTCCTAAAGGAAATACCAGAAATGGAAATCCATGCTCATTGCAAACATTTAAATTTCTGAGTGGCCTGAATTGAGCCAAGAGGCAAGGATCCTACTGCCATGGCCACACCAGCTCCTGTAAAAGCTGTAAACCTTCAGCTGAGGGTAGAAAGGCAGCCATTTAGACACACGGGGGTAATTTTTAGTTGGAAGGAAAGAAAAAATGCTCCAAGTCAAGTTAGAAAATTTATATTGGTACAAAAATCCTTTGAACCTTAACAGTAAATGGATTTTGCTCATTATGTGGGTTGATTTTCTCAGCGGCCCATTGCATGTGTGAATCTGCGATTCATTCTCAGCAAAGATGACTAATGGATCTTTTAGGAATCTAAGCTTTAAAGTTGATTTTCTGTGTTGGTCATGGAAGCAGCTTGACTTTAGATACTTTATGAGATGGTTGCCAAGGGAACTTGGGGCAAAATTTCTCAGGAGTGTCTCTAAAAACATTATTCATAATTAAAAAGTGATTCATAGAAATCACCAGAAAAATTATGGCCAGTTGTGTTCGAACATGTTCTTGAGCCATGTGGAATAAATAAAATCATTGCAGTCTGGTTGGGTAACGCTGCCTCCCAGCCTTCCTCTGACCATGCCAGGAGGACCTGATATAGCTTCACAGATGCGGGAGTGGCCTGTGGGACATGAGCCAAAGGGCATCTGCATTTTCTCCAGGTATTTCCTATATTGATAATGCAAGTAATAATTACATCCCTTCAAAGACCCCTGATTACTAATCAGAAGTAAGCTATACTGAAGTCCAAGGGGTGGGTAAGGTAGCACTAAAACAAGTATCTAGTAACCTAAGGGTTTGGATTTTTTTTTAAAGGGAAATAAAGACTGTGGAAAACCCCATTTGATAGAATCTGAAAGACAGAATGAACCTATTGGAACATAGACCCATCCGGTTATTGGTCAAATGATGTTCAACAGATTTTCTGGCATCTTAGTGGTGAAATTCTGAAAACAGACTCTCCTGCCACCAAACTTTGCTCTGCAGGGAAAAGTAGGAGATTGAGGTCCCAAAGTTTTAGCAGTACCAATCTCTTCAGCTGGTAGTCATATGGGTACAACTGCCTCCCGGTAGAGAAGTAGGGCAAGGCTTGTTAATGCAGCTTCCAAAGGCACTGGATTTATAGTCTAACTCATCTTGGGCACAGGTGGACTGTGACAATATGTGTCAGTTGCTAATATTTATATGGAGAATCAGCATTTAATAGGGCGGTTAACTTTTAAATAATCCAAACAGAAGCAGCTGCACTTGCTAAAAAAAAAAAATACTCCCACTGAACTGCACCTAAAAGAATAGATGCACTTTGCAGTCGTGCGCATGGTCACCCAGATGCACTGTGGCGTGACTTAGTAAGTTATTTTAGACCTCTTCGCAGTCAACTCTATCAGAGGCCTATGTGGTGAGTCACCTGGCATGTGAAGGTGGCTAAAACAGACAGATTGAGGGCTGCGTGTTCCAGGGGCTCATTACTCACGTGTAGTCTGGAGCTGGACTCAGAAGGAGCTAGTACATTTCGCATTAGAAGGAATGCAGCTCTTTGAACTGGGGAGTCCTCTCACGATCCTCCTTGCACACATGCTGTTACTCATTCAGGAAACATCCCTGGGTGGCCACAGGGTGCCAGGCACCCGGCCAGGCACTCGTATGATACCAGTGAGTCCCTGCCATGGAGGTGATGGTGACTTTGAAAATCTGGTCTGCTACTGTGTATCAAGGGCCTTAGAAATGCTCACAGCTTTTGAACCAATACATCTAGTTCTCATTAATTGTCCAATGGAAATAATTTCTCATATGAAAAAGCCTTTTTAAAATGAATATTTGCCTAATGGTTAAGAGTGCAAGTTTTGGTGTCAAATCTAGTGTGGCTTCTCTTTAAACCTCAGTTTTGTTATCTGTACAAGGGGGCTAAGAGCTACCTCATTAAGAGGTTGTGAATTTTAACTAAAATCACATACCGTATAATTCACCCATTTAAAGTGTACAATTCAATGGTTTTTAGTATGTCCACAAATATATGCAGTCATCATCACAATCAGTTTTAGAGCATTTTCATCACCTCAAAAAGAAACCCCATTAGCTAGTAATTCATCATCCTTCCAGCCCTCCCACCAGCCCTAAGCAACTATTAATCTACTCTCTGCCTTTGGGTTTCCCTATTCTGGACTTTCACATGAACGGAATCATGTAGTATGTGTCTGGTTTCTTTCACTTAGCACAACATTTTCACGGCTCACCCATGTTGGAGCATGTATCAGAATTTCATTCTTTTTTATGACTGAATAGTATTCCACTGCATGAATAGACCACATTTTGTTTATCCATTCATTCATCGATGGTCATTTGAGTTGTTTCTAACTTTTGGCTACAGTGAATAATATCCCTCCAACTTTTATTTTGGCAATTTTATAATAAATATTTAGTAAATTTTATAACAAGGAAAATCTGTCCTGGGTAATGTGTACATCTGAGTTTGGTGTTAGGGAGAGGGCACAGTTGTAGATTTCATCCAAGGATTGCCTGGTTAGCTTAGTACACATTTAAATTCTGTTTCAAGCCAGATTTACCCCCATGTCCAACAGACTAGTTTATAAGTGATGTTCTTGGTCACCAGAAGAATGAGACTACAAGCTTATCTCCAAGAGTCAGGAAATAGCTCTGAAGCTGGCAGGACTGATTGTGGTAACCTAACAGAGGTCTTGAGATTTGACTCTTTGCAGTTTCACTTGAAGGATTATATCTATTGGGTATTGGAAATGGTCTATATCTTGATCTGGGTGGTGATTACCTGGGATTCATGTGAAAAATTCATCAAGTGACATACTTCAGATTTGTGTATGTTATTTTATTTAACTGTATGAAAGTTACACTCTGCTTAAAGAAAAGAAGAAATCACAACCATATGGTTTCCCTCGGATCTCCCTTTCACTGTCCCATTCCAACTGCTGCTTCTTCCTTTCTGACCGTTTCCAAATGACCACAGGTTCGTGCCACACAGCTGGTAAAGGACAGAGCTGGGGTTTAATCCATCTCTTACTAACTTGGTGTGGAGTGTTACTTTCACTAGGAACTCTTCCAGTGCCTAGAATCTACATAAATTTTGAGACTTGGCCCTGAACCACATAGCAAATGAGTACTGAGGCTGGTCTAGGCGGGCTAGGTCTCCTGGGTCTGGAGCACATGCTTTGTCTGTCATCTCATGCACCCCTTACCCCCAGCACCCAGCATGGTACTGGGCACGTAGTGGATGGCCAATGAGTATTTGTTGAGTCAGTGTTACCAGAGCAGAGTTATCATCAAAGGCCAAGCAGACTGCCCACTTGGCAACTGCTGGAAAAATTAAGGCAGGAAACTCAATTCTTATTTTTTTCCCCATGGCAACACCAATGAATGTTGGTCTGTCACAGCGCATGGAAAGTTCCCATTGGAGATATCAGAACTCTCTGGCAGGACCCGTAAGTGTTAATTTTAGCTTTCAATGACTGATGCCTTGTACAATTTAATGGGTCAGGAGGAGCATGAGCCAAAGCCAAGATTACTCACTCAGAGAGGTTTCCTTTCCTGCAGAGTGCTTGGTGAGTTATTCAGGCTGTAGAAGACTTGCTACTTACACATTTATTTTGAGAGAGTTTCCGCTATTTTGAGTCTAACCTGATAATTGTAAGTGATTCCTTAAACATATTAGCAATCTGTCCCATCAATCAAAATTTCCCAGAGTTCATGCATTAAACATGAGTTCATCTCACAATGTCAAATGCTTAAAGGCTATAGCAATAATCATAAAATAAACAAAAGACTTGCGTGTCCCTAGGTATTCTGAGTTGAAAGATACATAGGTCGAATGTCAATTACTTGGAATGAGGAAGGAAATATCCGCAGGGATTTCCATGTCTACCCAATTTTCCTCTTTGAGTCCTGGTAGGAAATGAGGAAGTTCCATGCCGAGGGGAGATGCCTGTGCTTCTGGAAGAATAATATCTCAGCTGCCGTTTGCAGCTGCCCTGAGGTCACTGGGGACAGAAGGACTCTGTAGCTGAGTGCAGATTCAGGATGTGTAAGGATGCCTGACTCTCATGCATTTGACTTTGTGCATTGTCTACTCATGTGCATGACCTGGCCTCAGGTGCATCAGCTGATGAAGGACCTTTCTGAACTGTTGCCTGGTGGTAGGTCCCTGCTGGCCCACAGTCCAGCTTCAGCAGGTTGTATTCTTTGCTTGATCAGTGGGGTTTGTTTAATTCTTTGAACATTTTATTGCACCCTTCCCTAAGTAATTTAGGGAAGTTAGCAGAAAATGGAGAAAGGAAATCGTAGATCTCATGAATGCAGTACAGTCGAATTAGAAAGCGATGAGTAGATGTTGTGAAAGTGTGGGTCTTTAGGCTCAACCATATGCCCCAGGAAATTAAGCTGCCCAACCGTGGATTCACTTGTGAAGAAAAAGGTCATACATGAGATGCTGGAAATTCAGCAGTGAATTACATATAGGGGTAATTAAGTAGGTAACCAGGGGAAATTTCTCTCTCTAGGAGTGTTCTGACTCATATGAAAGAAGGCAGGATAGAATTAGGATCTATCATGTTGCAAACCTCTGATGCAGTCACGGATTTCATCAATGATTATCTGTCATCAGTGGCTGCTAGGGGCAAGAGGAAGAGAAAGAGACTGGGGGTGGGGTGAGGAAATCTCCAGAATAATTCAGCGATCTTACATGCCTCCTGATTAGAGTATATACCCTTTATAAAAGAGTCTTGCCAAAAACATCAACTCTGAATCTGATTCAGTTTCTAACCAGACATTCTAACTACCAGTTTTCACAAAAATACAGGGACAGGGAACTGTGTTAAATGACATCAGGGAATGCTACCAGAAAATCTGGCTGAAAACACAGTTTCTTTGACAAATGAATAGCAAGGAAAAAAATGGGGAGGGAGGAGGGAATCTGTGGATATAAAGACACATGTCAACCACATGCAAAGTATACGGACTTTGCATCTTAATTCAGGCAAATCACCTGGAAAATGTAAGTATGAGGAAATCAGGGAAATGTGAAGACTGGCTGGATATTTGATGTTATCAAACATCAGTGTCAGGTTTGTTTTTTTTTTAGGTATGATAACGACATTGTAGTTACATATTTTTTTTAAAAGGTTCTTATCCTTTAGAAATATATGCCAAACTATTTACAAACTTTATAATATATCTACATAGGGAACTATATTCAATACCTTGTAATGGCTTGTAATGAAAAAGAATATAAAAAGAATATATATATGTGTGTGTGTGTATGTATGTGTATATATATATATATATATATCACTATGCTGTGCACCAGAAATTAACACAACACAACACTGTAAATTGACTATACTTCAATTAAAAAAAAATCTAAAAGAGAAAGTATAAGTTAGGATCTTATAAGAATTTTGCTCCAAGGGTACATCTATTATTCCAACCCCTCAAGTTTGACCCCAGTGCGTGATTT